ACTTCTGTTTTATTGCACCTGTCAAAGCCTCTAACATTGGGTTTACTTATGACAAAGTTGGTTGTTAAGTCAGTTCAAAAGAAAAAAAAGTTTTCATTTACACTCATAAAAACTAGAAAATAAACAATGAGTTGATTTTAGGTTATTAATAAAAAAAAAAAATAATAATAATTTACACATTAAATAACGGCTACCTTACCTTACAAAGATGAATATCTCAAAATAAGAAACACACCTTGACAGGTAAAAAAAGTAATGTGAGTAAGAGATGAAAATGGAGAAAGTCAAAGGGTAGAATCCTACCTTCTCCCTCTGCAGCGTGTACTCTAGCCGAGGATGAGAGACGAGGCATACTTCCACATTCAGGTCTGTAAATCTTTGTCTCACCAATGTTAGTGGTGGTGGCAGCGACATGTGAAGTGACCAAGCCCAGTGGTCAAAAGCTTAAGATACAACAAGCACAGGTGTTTCCTGTGATGCTTTGACAGTCCGTAGGCCACACACAGCAACAGTGATGATAACAACAAACCTGAATATGGCGGTTCATGTGTTTGTGATGGTGATGGTTGTTACGACTACTGCTATGGGTAATAATAACAATACAAGCAAGAGGAGATCACACCTGCATTGTGTATGTGTGTGAATAAATACATCTCTAGCCATGCTGCAGCTGATCTTATGGTAAAGTTGAGTTTTCCTTAACAAGTCTCCTCACACACCTGGTCAACTATTGACATTGTGAGGGTCTGGAAATTTTTTAGCAGCAGCCACAGTTGACTAGGTGACCAGCTTAAACCAAGTTCTAGTTAAAGGGTTTATCTATCTATATACATATGTTTGATAGATATAGTGTTAGTTTTATTCAATTTTTTTTTTTTTTTTTTTTTTGAAGTCTGCTGAAATTCCCTGGCAGATGTTAATGTTAAAAATCAGAGTTATACTTAATTAAGATCTATCCATCTTTCAAATCACCTCACCAATAAAGAACTTAGCAAAATTCTAAAAACAGTAAACAATGATTTTTCTTTTTAAATTTGAATGTAAGCAAATTAACTAATACTTCTATGTGCTGTGTCCCTTTCAAACATGGGCGATCATGGCTCTCCACAATTTCCTATTCTTTGTATCTCTTAATAAGGTTTATATGTTCACCATATTTCCCAGCCCCTGTTCTGCCATCCATTTACACACGCTTGTTAGGTAGGTTATTTGATGTTCTCTTGCCTTCAATATGTCCTGTGAGTGTCAAATTCACCAAACCTTCTTCCTACATTTTGTGTAATAGAAATTTCAATTAGGACTCAAAGTAAAAATATGCTTTTTGTTTTGTGAGAAGTAACTGATGTTGATTTCTTACACTAAATGTAACGACTTTTATGAGATAGAAATAGAATTGCTCATATGTTTCTCTCTCTCTCTCTCAAATATTAAGAAAGTCTCTTCCCCATAATTGTTTTTGCTCATTCCACCCAAGTAATGCAATAAAAGTCATTACAAAAAATAGAATTGACAAGTTCAAATTTCAGCTGAAACTATTTGTGTTTTCTTTACACTAACAGGAAAATGTATAAATCTATTTCATCTTGAACTGTCCTATCAGCAGAAAAAAAAAGCCTCAGTAATGGTACATGAGAATGGCTGGCAGATGGTTTAAGAAGAGAATGGCTGGCAGATGGTTTAAGAAGAGAATGGCTGGCAGATGGTTTAAGAAAAAAATGTGCTCAGTCAGATTAAAGAAACCACACACACACACACACTTTCTCCTGATACTATGTAATCAACCCAATACAGGTTTCTTGGACCAGCACTCTATAATAAACCTGACTGGATAAATAAGTATTACTATAATGGTGCAAGTTTTGAAGAAATTTAACTGACAAAAGCAAGTGGAGAAAAAAAATACTACCTCTGTCCTATAATGGTGTTTATATTTGTATACACATTTCACATAATAAATATAAAATCTGGTCTGCTGCTCCTGCTATACATTTAGAGATTCTTGATAAAATCCAAAGAAGAATCTGCAATGTTATTGGTCATGACCTGGCATCTCAGTTTCAGTCACTTTGCCACCACCATAATGTAGCTTTTTCTATAAATACTTTCACGGTAATTGTTCTGATTTGGCACCTTGACTTCACGATTTGAAGGGAAATACTAGAGTGGCAGCCAGGTCTCATCATCTTACAACTGAAAAGGCTAGATGTAACCATAAGTTCTATGTTCTTCTCTCACTTGTGGAACTCTCTTCAAGCTTTCTAGTCAAGTTTGAGTATCAAAAATTTAAATACAATGTCAATCATTATCTTTTGTCATCTTAATTCCTGTTCTTATATTCTTCTTTCTGCTTAATAATATTTTCCTTTTTCTTATATTCTCTCCCACTCAGAATCCCCTTGTGTCTTAATGGCTTTATTGCCTTACTTGGGTGGAATGATTAAAAAGAAATTATGAGGCAGAGACTTTCATAATACTTGAGAGAGAGAGACATAGTAAATGAGTAATCCTATTTCTATCTCATAAAAGTTATTACATCTAGTGTAAGAAATGTGTATACAACTGTACCAATGATTATGGGACAGATATAGTATTTAAATATTAATAGATATAATATCCTATAAATAATTAAATATTTGACACTTTAAGATATTTATTAAGATCAACAAAAGGTTAGAATGCTGAAGTTTATATGACACCAATTTTCTTTAGGGAAGAGCCTGCATGCCTAACTTTTTTATCTGGGTTCAATCATCACTGATGCAAGGGTGAAATATCCAACTATCTTGACCACCATGAATTTATAAACTAATTTTTACATACTTTATAAAGAAAAATCTTTAGCACTCTGTGCTCATACTAACAATTTTAGTATAACATATGCACACTGGTACCATGCTCACTTCTTCACAAAACCCAGCAGAAACAAATGTGTAATTATTTGCTTCAGTTGACACTAATCATTGAACAAAAGTGTGATTGAATTTCATAGTTGTGTTGTCATCTCCTGTTATGGCAACAGAAAAACAACTGAGTGAAATTAACAGTAAGTATACTGCAAATTAGAGACCTTGAAAAAGAATGCAGTAAAAAGGGAAATAATATTAATAATGCAAAGTGCTAAAGGTGAAAGTCAGCCTTTGGGTAAAATAGATTTGCGTAAAGAATGAAAAGTTTTAAATAAGAAAAGGTAAAACAAAAGCTATTAACAAGTTATAATATAAATGAAGCCAAGTCTTTTTGTGTAGGTTGAAATACTTATGGCCCACCCCAAAGGCAAGTATCAGCTATAATTAGTCTTAAGGTTATCCAAGCCAAAGTATTCTTAAGTTCTTATTTGAAAAATTTTATCATCTTAAAACAAATCAGGTTGGCAGTTGCTTCTAAATAACTTTGTTTATTGACACATTGCCCAAGGCGTATTTGGAAGCTGGAAAGACATGGTTCATCCAACACCACAAATAATGATTTTGTTAAATACACAATCTAGGAGATAAGAGTAGGAAAAAGAAAAGACAAAACAAACATTCCCACCTGAACCCACAAGACATACAAACCAGAAACAACTGTAAGCAAGTCGAGGCAGATAACAAATATGTATTTACTTTTTTTTTTTTTTTGTAGATTTGAAATAAAAAAAATAAAAAAAATAAAAAAAAATTAAATTACTGTATTTCTCAACTCCTGTTAATATAAACTTTACCCCTTAAAAGAAGGGAAAAAAAGAAATTGCTTAAAATAACCTGCAAATGAATTTCCCCACCCAAAAAGGTCATGGTCAGATATTTACCTTTGGGCGAACATGACTGTAAACTTAAGATACACATCTTACAAGATTATTCTTCAAAATAAAAAAAAAATTATCACATGCAGACATTAAATGGTAGAAAATTATGATAAATAGGCTAAAAACCTTATCAAACAAGTTGAAAATATCAAGGAGAAAGTAAGCATCACAATTTTAAGAGTTTTTATATATATATATATATATATATATATATATATATATATATATATATATATTACTTCAAACATTACTATAACATCTGAAGTAATAAAAAATGTTAGATTAAAACACATCCATTCTATATATATATATATATATATATATATATCAGTCAGTTGTAAGTAAATGGAAAAACTTAGTGATGCTTGTTTTTTTTTATCAATTCACCCCAAGCAAGGGGATACTGGGAGTGAAAGAAAATAAAAAAGACTTTACAAGGAACCAGAAACCAGATAATAAGCAGACATATCTACTCCAATAAAACTTCTTCTAACAAATAATATGTTTATTACTGGAATCAGTCTTTATATATATATATATATATATATATATATATATATATGTGTGTGTGTGTGTGTGTACCTGAAAACCATAACACTGGTTAACCCAAGCCTTGTGTGTGAAATTGGGTAGACGGAACTCTTGTGGGCCATAGATAGCTGTGCTAGCATAAAGCCACAAGTCATTGTGGCTGAAGGCTTCAGTGTGCTGGCCTTGTTCAAAGTGTTGATCATGCTGGATAACACGCTCTCTCCCAGAAACTGTAACTAAGGTCTGCTCAACATAATTGTTGTATGAACCACAGGTGGGCTTGACCAAGCATCTGCAACAAGGATTGGCTAGCCACCCTAGTAAACAGGTATATATATTAGAGAGAGAGAGAGAAGAGAGAGAGAGAGGAGAGAGAGAGAGAGAAATCCCTTGGTTAATTTTATATACTGACTTTGTACTAGAAATCAGCAACTGTTCAAAGATATGATTGATTTGTTTTCTTTGCATGTTATTTAAAGCCAGAAAATACTTTTAGATTATAAGAAACTTTTTAGAGATAATAATGGCTAAGTGATACAAGTCTTACTAATTAACTCATAGCTGGGGAGAGAATAGGTGGATTCATACCTTTCCCAAGTGAATATAACAAACCCATTGGGAATTGGAACTCAGCTTTCTGATCAATTCCAGGCCATTACCCATTACACTACTCGCACATCTAAACTTACAGCCCCTGGTATTTCCAAGTGGTCACCCATCTAGGTACTGACCAGGCTTGATATTGCTTAACTTCAGTGATCGTACAGGAGCCATAAGCCGAAAGGTATTTTAAGAAACTTAAAGATGAAAAGACCAATGCTATTAAGAAATAATCAAAAATATATTTAAAGGCTTAAATACTAAATACTTAAACAAGATTCAATTCATTCGGCATTGGTAAACTGGTAAATCATAATAAACAATATGACCTTTTTTTTTCTGTTTGTTGGAGAAACAAATTGATTTTGTCAATCTAAAGCTAACAAAAAATGATCAAATGAATTCTATCCAAGTTTGATTGAATGGTTGTTTTGTTTTATGGCATATCAATCTCAATGGGATATTTAATGCCAACAACATTTTTAGGATAGATTAATATGAATAGAATATGTATTCTTTGGTTTAGATTGGTTGGTTTTGTTTTACGGCATATCAACCTCAATGGGTTATTTATATATTAACCTTAATGGGTTAATTTTTTGTTGCTGGTAATATTTTTTTCCTTCATAAATCTATTTTTGATAATATTTTTTTCTTCAAAAATGTATTGCTGGCAATAACTTTTTAAAAAAAGTATTTCTGGTATTTTTACACTTTCATAGTGTTTTCATCCCAGTTTGGGGTTTAACTATTTGCCCATAGCTGGGACCCTAACAGGTACTACCACCTTGGGTCAGGATGGACTTGGGAACACCAGCAATTAAGAGATGGTTCTATGCTCCTCAAAACCTCCTGATCAGAGGCCTTGTTGTTGGACATAGTTTATTGTTTTACCCAGGACACGGATGGAGTTTATCATCATACCCAGGACAGTTTATCCAAGTTTGAATGCCCAAAATGTCAAAGGTAAGCAAACAGGTGAGGTAAGGATTTTTCCGCTTTAACAGCATAGTAAAATTAACTAGTAAATATTAAGTTCATCAGCACATTACAGACACCACAATCATCCAAGTTAGGGAGCAACATTTTGTATCTATCCATATATAAAAAATGCTGATGTTTCTTATGGTTATTTTGCATGTGAATAATCTAGAGATGACTGATAAAAACATACAAGTTAGTTTAATATTTTAATATTTATGTTGTAACCTAGGAAGGGTTACTGAATGAGGAATAACCAAAACAGTGGTTGGAAATGAAATGGTAATCTTTATAACATAAACAAAATACAATACTTGCCAGAGGCGTGAAGTAGGTAAACCACTGCTTGTGGTGGACTACTTAGACAGCATATTACCCCCACTTACAATAGTGTCCAAAATATTTATGAGGATTGGGACATACCTATTAGTGTTCATTGGTATGGTATATGACAACATACACATATATATATATAGAAATATAGTCTTAGTCTTATAGGCTATATTTATGGGATAAAATGCTCAATATCAGAGACAGAGTGTGTGTAAATATAAAAGTGAACATAGAAGTCAACACTTAGAGATGACAGGTGGCCTGACAATTGCATCTAGCATGAAACAGACTGTCACCTCTAAGTGTTGACTTCTATGTTCATATATATATATATATATATATATATATATATATAGAGAGAGAGAGAGAGAATTTGATTAATACAAATAAAATTTCACATTCAACAAAGAACATTATGATAAAATGATTATTTAATGTCCTAAAATAACCCACCCTTTTATATATTACAGTAATATGGAGTGAATCTAAATCCTACCTCTAAATAGTTGTAACCAAAAAGATCTTGTATCTTACATGCCATCAAATGAAGTCGTGAAATATTCATTGGAAATTCACTTTTTGTACTGATGAACTGCAAAAGTGACAAAAATCTAACAACGAAGTCAATATCTTCATATGTCATCATACTTCCGACTCTTCATATATTTAAATAAGGCATATTTCAGCAGTAAGTATTCACTCAAGAATGTTTTGTTGAATAGTATGGACAAGTCATGCCTATCAATTTTTTTTTTATTACATCTTTCAAATTTCTGAATAAGTTGTTTTGTTTTATTATTAAATTTGTCAAAATCCAGATTAAGTTTTATTTTATATTATCGCCACCAGTCCGGGTACTTTCAAATGCTGCTCCATTTGTTTTTAAAGATTGTTCTTTGTATGCCATTGTTTTTTTTCATTCCAGCATTCTCATGCTTGATGGCATCAATTTCAAGTCACTCAGTGTGATATCATATAAACAAATTAAAATATTTATATATTTGTGTTTTCTATTTCTTTTTTATCAAAAACACTTCAATATACAGTCCCCTATGGAGAAAGACACCTTATTTAATGTCGGACACTTCTCTTCTATTACAACAGCATCCAGAATTTGGAATTTTTCTTTACAAGGTTTCCTGTATAAAATTTTAATGTTATCTACTAAAATTTGTCTAATGTTAAAATTATTTGTCATATGTTCATCTCTATGTACCCAAATTGTCCATATTATTTAACTATATATATATATATATATATATATATATTGTAGCATACCTACAGATGATAATGGGTATCCCTCCATTCCCATAAATACAGTAGTGAATACTGTACATGGTCTTGAGTTGGAAATTCATTGTGGAATTTACTTGAATCACTTCAGGCAGCTGATTACTACTACTACTACTACGTGTCGCTGGTGAATCATATATGTGTTGTTCTTGTCCTAAGTATTATCATTCATTACCAACCTTCGTGTGATTATTCTATTCAGTAACCTTCCCTGGGTTACAACAATATATATATATATATATATATATATATATATATATATATATATATATATAGCCTTAAGATGTGCTATATTTATGGGATAAAGTGCTCAATGTCAGAGACAGAGTGTGTGTAAATATAAAAGTGAACAGAGAAGTCAACACTTAGAGGCGACAGTCTGTTTCATGCTAGATGTAATCGTCTGGCCACCTGATGATTACATCTAGCATGACTGTCGCCTCTAAGTGTTGATTTCTATGTTCACTTTTATTTATATATATATAAATAGATGGATTACTTTTTTTTTCATCTGGCATTATTACTTAACATTATGACTGTAAACATTATTTCTAGTAGGTACATGTTTGAGTTGACATCCATGCTACTTTTTCTTAAAAACTTTGAAATTAATAATCAAATTGGCTTAGATCAAGAAGTCCTACAAAAATGTACATCCTGACAGAAACTAAACCTGTATCTTCCTATATATATTTATTTATGAATTTAAATGTCCATTAAGGAATTGTATTCCTGATCAATCAAAATTTGTAAACAATTATATAGACCATACTACAACATGTTTGACACAAAGACTCACACTACACCTTTCTGACCATAGCTCAATTAGGTCTTATTTAAATACCTACTGGACCCTATTCGTAACATACTTGTTGACAACACAAATATAATGGCATCGTCTACAAAAAACCAACACTCAATAATATCAACTGTGAATATGGACACAATATCTTGACCGTTTTTTGAAAATGAAAACATTATATAAATACACACATACAACAATCTATTTCTTGTTAACAGTTAATATATCTCAACCTTGAAAATGGCTAAATGTTTAGTCGAAAGCACTCAGAAAGAAAGAACAATTAGACAGTTTTTATATTATCACCTGAAAAAAAAAAAAAAAATTGTAAGATCACATGAGAAATTGTGAATAAACAAAAAACAAACTAAAAGCATCTTTTTCTTTCATATTCAATGAAATGTGCATGAAAGAAGGATTGCTACCGAAATACACAAATCATATATATATATATATATATATATATATATATATATATATATATATATATATTAAAATCAAGGAAACCACACATATAGCTGAAGCAAGCCATTACCAATTTGGTTACCTGAAGCCATCATGATAAATAAAAGTTAAATTACCTATTTCAGAAATGCAAATCTATCATTGGGACATCTTTGGGTACAAAAATGACGCAAGCAGACATTGATTGAAAGACATCCTAATGAAAGATGTGCATTCCTGAAGTAGTTAATCAAGCTTTTATTTATCATGATGACTTCCTGTGGCCAAATTGGTAATGGTACACTTTGGCTATAGGAATGGTTTCTTATTTCTGTCAGGAAGCTAACTTTTTTTTTCTTTAGTAGAAATTCTTACTCTAGACCATTTGTTATTAATCTTATTTTTTAGGAAAATAAAAAAAGCAAGGGTGTCAACTCAAATACATCTAGCCACTAAAAATAATAAGTATTATAAATAAGTATATATAAGTGTTATATCCTGTGCTAATAGGAATATATACTTGACAAACATGATGGATAAAATAAGTAATGGTTTATTGTAACAACCAGTACAATAAGAAATAAGATAACAGTTATGCGCACAGTCGTCACAAGTCAATCCAATAGTGAGTGCTGCAATTGGAAGGTTGGTAGTTCTCATGTAAGTCTGCGTCATACTCAACAGATCCCAGCTCAACTCCTGTAGTCCGTTGCCTACGGATACTTATAGGTAGTTACTATCTATAGTGTAATCACTCATGGGGCTGACAGGTTATTCCATTACATCAATAAGTATTATGAAAATAATGTTTATAGTAATAAGTAATATTAGTAATAAGTAATATGTTTATTATTATTGTTTATTATTAATGTATTATTATGTTTATAGTAATAAGTAGAAATAATGTTAGATAAAAAAATCCATTAAAAAATAACTTATGTTTTCAGTACAAAACTGAAGCTAGGAGAAGTCCTAACGAGATGTACATTCATTAAATAGGTAATTCAAACCATGCTCTATCAACTCAGCATCTGTAACCGAATTGGAAAAGGCACGTTTCAGCTATAGAAACAGTTTCTCTGATGCTAAAGTGGATATGGGTTCAATTCCTGGTTGCAGCATAATCTTTCTTTAGTAGGACTTCTCAAACTAGGCAGGTTGTTTTTAATTTCACAGTTTAAGAAATTAAACATGGATACCAAACTTAAACATATAGTCACTAAAAAATAACATTTATAGTCATAAGAAATAATTAAATTAAGAGAAAAGATATTGTTGTTTCCTGAATGAATAAAGAATGGAGAGTGTGAAAGTATAA